GAGTCTGGTGTGGCTCTTCGGGAGCCGAGAGAGTGTGTGATTCTTCATAGAATCATAGAATGGTTAGGGTTGGAAGGGACCTTAAAGATCATCTAGTTCCAACCCCCCTGCCATGGGAAGGGACACCTTCCACTAGACCAGGTTGCTCAGAGCCACATCCAGCCTGGCCTTGAAGACATCCACTAGATTCTCTTCCACCTTCTTGAGGCTTTCCTGAAGGGAGATGCAAGTCCAGGGCTGCAGTGGGGCAGGAGAGAGTGCTGGGGACATACAGTTGCTGCCAGTGCCCAGCCTGCCTCATGTAGAATGCTGTGTTCTGGTTCCTTTCAAGCCCCATAATTTTTCCCCATTAAAAAACCTTTAAAAATGCATGTGCTTTTTAAGTAAGTAGTTATGTTGGCCAGTGTCATTGCAGTGCACACGGAGTGTTTAAAGAATGTGTATTGGCAGGTCTGATGCAAGGCTTGGTGAGATGAAAACCTGTGCCTTTGTTTCTGTCGCTCTGTGCTCAGTGCACAGGCTAACTCTGTATTTTGCAACCGCCTTGGAAGCAGCTTGATATCCAATCATAATGTTTTGTTCTTGTGAGTGGAAAATGGGGCTCTCCCAGGGAAGCTGTAATGTCTTTCTGCTTTGAAATTGGGATTTCATTGTGGCTTAGCTTATGAATGCTGTTTCTTACCATATATATATCCATATATACGGGTAGCAGTGGTTAGGTGAAGAGCCCACATTTCAATATGAAGGACAACCTATACACTCTGCAGATTAGATCTGCTATGGACTAGGGCTCTTCCAGGAAAATTTGCCTTTCCCAAGGCATTTCCCCTAAATGAGAGATAACTTAAGCCATTCAATGAGGACCTGCAATCCAGAGGCCTCAGAAACAGATGTTTTATATTCGCTTTTTGTGAAATGGCCATTAAAGAATGGGAGGCAGAAGTATGCTGGATCCTACACTAGATCCTAGAAAACTGTTTGACACTGTAGGTGGATGAGATCAGCCACATTCTTCTTCCCCATTTACTTCACATTCCCTCCCTATCTAACACTCCACTCCCAAACAGCTTTTATCCTCCAAATTGCTCTTAAAAGTCCTCTTCATGCCCAGTGCCCGCAAAAATCCGATAACTGCCTTGGTGTCTTTGTCAGGTACTTAGACTTAGCAGGGCAAGCCTAGTAAAATAACCTAGATAGGGCTGCAGTAACTAGTCATTGCTCTGTCTGGGTTTCCCAGTAGGTCCTGTCTCTGTGCCCATCTTGATCAGCACTCCTGCCTAGGTGCTGCCTGTGTTTCATCTCATGGAGTTCCAAGCTCTACATCAGTATTAGCAGTGTCTGGTTCAGCTGGTAAGATTCTTTGGAAGGTTGGCATCATGTTCCCTGTATGTTTGTTCAGTCCTGAGAATGCCAGATGTGCTTAAGAACTAATAGGCAATAGCAGTACCGTGTGCCATGCATCATAAAGACATCCCAAATGGCCATCAACCCTGCTGAGACGCTGTCTTGGGAAGAGTGGTGCCTGTTAGCTGCTCGTGGCTGTTTTGAGATCCTTCTGGGACATAGGTATGAACTTAAATCCCCAAAAGGCCATGTCAGCCATAGAAGTGGCGGCTTCCCTTTCATGGGTTGCATCAGGTGGTGTGGGACACCTGGGAGCACATCTCCACAAGCACCATGATCATTGTCTGGAGCTTGGCTCCAGCTGTCTCTGCCTTCCCATCATCTAGAAGCAGAAGAGAAACTCAAAAGCTCTATCATTTTCCTGTATTCTCCCCTGGTCTATCATTGCTTAATTGTATCCCCAAATCTTATTAAAGTTTGGGGTGAGTCATTGCCATGGTGAGGTGGAAGCAGCTGAGAAAATTTGAGAGGAGTGTCTTCACATGTGAGTGTGCTGAGCAGTAAAAACTCCCACAGCAGAGAGAAACTCCTATCACTTCATAGATATGTTGCATCATCTGCTTACTGCTGCCTCTAATTTAATGCTCTAAATCCCATATGAAAACACCTCTAGTCCAAAGAGAATATGAAATAGACCTGGAGTAGGAAATTCATGCCAATTAGACATGCAGATCTCTTAATCATCTGAGACCTTCTTCCAAGCTCACACAGGACTTGTAATTGTGGTTCTGTATTGTCCTGTTGGCATTGACTATCCACAGAATCCACTTCCCTCTCCACTCCCAGAATCAAGTTGTAGACTTACTCCAAGGTGGCTGCACTTCAGTGTCCTAAACGTGTTTTATTTGTGGCTACAGTAGTTCAGGCTTGTAAAACATTATGATCTCTTATGGAAAAAAACACTGTAGAACTGTAAAACCATCGTCACTGGACAGATGATTTCTTTGATAAAGACCTGCTCTGCTCTACTGTGTAGGCACCATTGTAATCCCTTGCACTTGTTCTGGTTTCTGATGGAAATCCAAAAAAAAATTCTTTCTGAGGCTGTGTTTTCCATCATATCCCAGGCTCCTGCTCCTTGTAACTTTTGGTGGTTTAA